CCCTCTATATATGATATTAAACATTTTTCAAACAATGATATCCAGATAGCTGAAGTCCTCACTATGCCTTTTGTGGGGATTTAGCAGTGGATCATATTTATATGCACCACTTTTTTATTTTGTTACTACTGCAGGTAAATCATGAATTGCTAACATCGAGAGATATTCCAATGATCTTATTAATTAGATAAGATGTAAGGGAAAGGAAAATTCTGCACCTCTCCTGCTATATCTACTTGATGGCTATGTGATATTTGTCTACGGCGGAACTCTGAAATTTCATGTTGATATGAAGACTGATGACCACCAAGGTTTAAACTAGATACTTTGGTTTCTTTCCCCTCTTCCACATCCTGCATCTCTGTCTTCTGTAAGTTACCAAAGCACAAAAATATTCATTTACATATATCTGTATATATATATATATATACACGTTAAAAGCAAGATGGAACATATATATGATTCACTAATACCTCATCTGCCGGGTAATCTCATTGCTGTTCAACTGTTAATTAATTTTTTACTGCTTACTCATGTAGAACCCAGTGCTTTTAATGAAATGAAAGTTAATTTTACATTCAAACTATTGGAATGTCCACTGGCCCAAGAAAAGTCATGTGTATGCAGCAATAGCATACATGATGGTTATAATGCTTAATTTGGATGCAAATGCAATATATGCTAGAACCACTTTTCCAAGCTGAGAAATGCAAGAGGACAGGAAAGGAGCAGAAATTGAGAAATATTTATTAAAAAAAAAAATTGAAACAGAGAAACCATGGGATGATGAATGCTTAATTCATAGTAGCCTACGGAGAACACAGAATGATGAGAAGCAAGAAACAGAACTTGTAACCAGAGAGCTTCATACAATAATGCTTGAAAGCACCTGTGCATCCAGTTGGTTGAACATTTGGAATATCAATTAAGTAAACAACTAGAAAATAACAAAAGCAAGGAAAATGATAAGAAAATAATGTAATTCTGTTGTAATTTCCGATGAAAATGAAAAAAAAAATGTCTGCATCAAAAGAGGTTGAGGTTCTATTGAGGTGAAATCAATCATTCAGTTAACCCAAGACTTGAAAACAACAGCATGCTAAGAATGAAACTTAAATTGCAAATAATAAATTAGAAAGACATCTGGTTAAAGTTGGAAGGCAAAGAGAGAAAAAGAACATACTTCCGGACGTTCTTCCTTGTCCAGATCAGCAGCTTTGGAGTCGCCCATCATAAGCTCCCCAGTCGAATCTGCAGAACTGTTGGTGCTGCAGCTATTCTGAATCTCAGGTGCTTTCCCTGCCATCGCAACAAACCCATTTTCAGTTCCAATCAAAGATCTATTTCTCGATTTCAATTCCAAAAACCACGCATGAATACTCATGGAAGTTCATAACTTGCAAATTGTTCAAGAAACCAGAGATCTCACCAGTGGCAGCCATTGGAGGTTCCAGACGACGTTGAGCGTGCGAGGAAACGGTGATCAAATTTTAAATTGAGCGGTGAAAGGAAAGAAGGAAGAAGTCGGAGCGACCTCCCCTGAACGGCTACCCGAGATCTGGAAAAGGTCCTGGATCTACGGGTGGTCTTTCTCCCTCTCTGCTCCATCGGATAGACGAATGCAGTTTGCCTTAAAGCTGTCCTTGACGGGTTTGCTCTTCAATGAATCGGAGATGGAGAAGTGCTTCTTATACAGGGAGAGAGATGGGGGCTGTTTAGATGTTTTTCCATTTTTTTTTCCATAACGAATGGAGCCTTGAACTTTTAATGTTTGGTTCGTTTCACCCTTGTAGTACTTTTGTTATCATTCGATAAATTATGTTTTTAAATTATTAATTAAGATAAATTAATTATTATTTAATATATAACATTATTATGTGTCAACTTTTTATTAAAAACATGTTGAGAGAGTAAATAAATTTTTAACATGTGATGATATCACATATTAAATAATAAATAATTTATCTTAAATGATAATTTAAAAGAGTAATTTGCCTTTATCCTTCTATTTAAAAGGTGGATTTAGGGGTTGTACCAAATTAAGACATCCTAACACTTTAAATATTAGAACATTTTGTGAAATTATTCAAATACTGTTAATAAATCTTTGTTTGCCTATTAATTTATTAAGGATATTTTAATTTTTTTATTACTGTTTCTCACATCTTTTGTATGAGAACATCCTAGTTTTCTTTACTTCCTAATATCAATAATTATTAATCATCAAATTAAATAAAATTATTGATTTCCATATAAAACCTCTAAATTTAAAAACTAAGAAAATCGTAATTATATATTTACAATAATAA